CTTAAAAAAAATGTATATTATTCTTTACTACTTATAAGTTACAATTGGTAATATTTGAAGAAAATATAGAACTTCATTAGATAAAAATATTACGTATTTCTTCAGCGTGATAATAGATTAACGTAGATATTTTATGTCATTAAAATGATTTTAATTTCTTATACAAAGAAAATCATAAGTACCAATTACTTTTCTCGGTATTTACTTAATATGTAAATTCACTTTATAATTTGTCCATTCAATTACTAATTATAAGTTTGTATTAAATTTAGCTAAAATTAAATTATAATAATAAAATGATAAAATTATTAACATTTTAATACATTTAAAAACTTATACGTTATATTAGTTTTAATATATATACAGTAGACATCAGGTAACTTTTAAAGTAATACAAAATCCATGATTATACGTCATTAATATNAGTCTATGATCTCTTAGCTTTATTGAGTCTTAATAAAGAAAAAATATACAAGTATTTAATGGTTAGAGTCCTTCTAAGACTTAAAGAAAAACAAAAAAGAGCTTTTTAGCATTTCATGTTACTTCTTTTGATCATCTATTTTTAATCTAAACACTGAACCAACTTTTTCTACAATCCAAAATCGAATTTGATTGATAAAATATCAAAACAACACTTGATTTCCACCTCTGCAATAGAAAGTTGATTTGAAATGGTGGTTTGAAACTCAATTTTGCATAGAAGTGACTCAAACTCAAAATTGATCACTTTAGCAACTTTGTTTAGTGATTTTACATGTGTTCAAACTCTGAAATGAGTTAAAAACATATTGCAACTCAAATTCACCTTGCCACTTCCCAAGTTGACTCAAAATTGAGGGTTTGGTATACTATTATGCACTTAAGCCAATCAATCACGAATTGAACCTTGCTAGTAGTTTTAAATCATCATTTTAGACTTATTGAAACTGTCACACAACATAGAAATGCTAGCATTCAAAATTTGACTTTGCTTATGGCCAAAAATGTAGAAATTCACTCTATCACACCACCAAAAACAAGTTCAAATGAAGCAAATGATGAGACAACAATAAAAATGACTCAAGAAAGTATCAATGCATTAAACTAAGCTAGAACAATGAAGCTTAGCATGATTAATCAGATTGAATAAAGCAAGGATATATAGCAAAATGATAAGCTAGAATCAAGAGTAAAGCAACAATTGCTTATGGTTTTTAAGGCAACGAAGTTGTGCTAGATGCATTTCATTACTTGTTACAATTTTCCATACCTGTTGCAACATATACAACATCAAAAAGTGGTGAACCATGCACCAGAACCGAATTAAAATACTAAAAATGAATTCAAAAAGGCTTAAACTAAAACCAAAATTCTAACATAACTGGAATTCGAAACAGGATTTCAATGCTTTTCCACATATCACCAAGGTTTAGAATAAGATCTCATTACCTCATTTCGTTGATATATGTCTACACTTTCTTCTGAAATCCATTAAAACCGAAATTTAAAAACAAAATCATATTAAACTGGACTAAAACAGTGAGAAAACTGCAACAACAATTGCATATGAGCATGACAAAACAAAATTTTCTTAAAACTGACAATGACTCCAAACAACAATGTTTCGCCAATTAAAATGCTAATAGGAATTGAACAAACGATGAATCATAGCATGAAAAGAGATAGGATTGAAGTAAAATAGTGAGCTCATGTAAAACAGATTACACAACAGAATAGAGTGCACTAAAATGAGCAAAAAAACACAGATGTGGATGGAAAGTCACTTAGCTCTTAAAGTGTGCTCGATCAAGGCTCTGACTACCACGTGATGGAAGCAACTCCAGGTATCATGCATGAAGAAATCTCGATGGACCATAGAAGCAGTGGACTTATGAAAGTGTAATGGAAGTTTGGTGCATTGAAGGTGTTTGATGAAGGTTTGAATGAAAAGAATGGTTTAGTTTAATTTCATTGTTTTGAAGAACCTTTAGTTCTTTTGTAGATATTATTTGTATAAGATAACTTGTATATAAAGTTTTGAATTATGATTATATTTTTGAATAATTATAATCATATAAAATATGTTTCCTTTAGTTAATTTTTCTTGTTTATAGAAGATGTGATAATTTTCTATTAATATTAAAACTATAATTTTTGAAATGTTATATGAGCTCTCTTATTTAATGCTAAGTAACAGGTGAGTATTCTAAAGATTTTGGAAAATCTTTATGGAGTAATATAAATATACATTAATATAAATATACATTGTGTAATGATATAAGTTAGAGAACTTTTTATAAATTGATGAAAAGGATGTAGACATAGTTTGTAATGAATCAATACAAATATAAATATTTCTTTACAAAAAAAAGTTCAACAAAGTCCTAAGAAACTTTGTAGTATATTGAAATATTTCTTTTACAAATGGTTCATATCGTCCAACATCATTTAAAACTTTATTATTTTATAAAAATGTCCAACTTAGGTTCCTAGTTATTTGGCCTTTGGTGTCCACCCATTTTTTTATTAATGGTTATAGAAAAGTTGGTTCAATGATGATAGATTTAGATATAAATGTGGTCATCATTAGATAAACATGACTTGTATGTCCGTTAATTGTTAAAAAATAAATTAATGTCATGACCTGTGTTGATCTCACTGTGTAAAACATTTGCCTTAGGTTCCTAATTATTTGGCCTTTGCTCTCGATGTAGTTTTGCACGAAATTCATCCCCAATGAACCATTTTTTCTATAACTCTTCATGCAAAACTGCATTGATACCAAAGACTAAATAACTAGGGACCTATGACAAATGTTTTGCATAACCAGGTCAACAAACTAAAAGTCATTCATTTTTAAGTGTAAATTTTGTTTTCAACATTTAATATACATACAGGTCATCTTAAGCCAATAATAACGACATTTATATCCAACTCCACCCCCAAGGAACCAATTTCTGCATAACTCTTCATGCAAAACTGTATCGGGAGCAAAGGCTAAATAACTAGGGATCTAAGGCATAAGTTTTGCACAACAAGGCCAACAAAGAAAATGTCATTAATTTTTAAGTGCAGAATTGTTTTCTTAACACTTATTGGACATATTACTGATGTTCAGACAATGATTATGACAATTATGTCGAAGTTCATCTCTAAGGAACCATTTTTTTTATAACTCATTATGCAAAACTACATCGATACCAAAAGCTAAATAACTGGGGACCTAAGACAAAGATTTTGTAGTGTCAGGTCAACAAACAAAATTTCATTCATTTTTAAGTGCAGAATTTTTTTTTTTACACTCAATGTACATACAAGTCATCTTAAGCCAATGATAACGACATTTATGTCCAACTCCATCCTCAAGGAACCAATTTGTACATAACTCTTCATGTAAAACTACATCAGGACCAAAGGCTAAATAATTGGGGACTTAAGAGAAAGGTTTTGCATAATAAAGTCAACAACGAAAATTTCATTAGTTTTTAAGTGCAAAATTGTTTTTTTAACACTTATTGGACATACAAATGATGTTCAAACAATGATTATGACATTTATATCGAAATTCATCTTCAAGGAACTATTTTTTCTATAACTCTTTATGTAAAATTGCATCGGTACCAAAGACTAAATAACTAGGGACCTAAGACAAAGGATTTGCACAATAAGGTTAACACAAGTCATGACATTAATTTATTTTTTTAACCATTAATGGACATACAAGTCATGTTTATTTCATGACCACATTTACATCCAAATCTATCACCATGGAACCAACTTTTTTATAACCATTTATAAAAAAATGGGTAGAGACCAAAGACCAAATAACTGGAAATTTAAAGTTAATATTTTGTACAGCTTTTTCAACACATGTCATGGAAATAAGATGAATAGACAAAATTATTGGTTTTTAACTCTTATATTACTTTTTTTTCTTAAAAAAAATGTATATTATTCTTTACTACTTATAAGTTACAATTGGTAATATTTGAAGAAAATATAGAACTTCATTAGATAAAAATATTACGTATTTCTTCAGCGTGATAATAGATTAACGTAGATATTTTATGTCATTAAAATGATTTTAATTTCTTATACAAAGAAAATCATAAGTACCAATTACTTTTCTCAGTATTTACTTAATATGTAAATTCACTTTATAATTTGTCCATTCAATTACTAATTATAAGTTTGTATTAAATTTAGCTAAAATTAAATTATAATAATAAAATGATAAAATTATTAACATTTTAATACATTTAAAAACTTATACGTTATATTAGTTTTAATATATATACAGTAGACATCAGGTAACTTTTAAAGTAATACAAAATCCATGATTATACGTCATTAATATGTAGATAATTAATTTTTTAAATCTATCATAATCACTTCTCCTATCTATTAGTGTATTTTTATTGTTCCCCTATTTTTTAATTTTTTATTATTTTTTTATCAGTTTTTTTATTATATATCTTGTATTATAATTTTGGGTTAAATATCTTTTTCATTCCTTAAGTATCACACGAATTTGGTTTTAGTTTCTACTCGAAACTTTGATGGTTTTTAGTCCTCATAGTTTTGAAACACTTACTATTAGTTCTTAAAATTGGACAGCGTTAACTTTTAGTAGATATGGCAAACGGCGAGGCCACGTTTTATGTCAGCTGCCCTGTTCACTCTCTGCCACGTTGGTTGTTTAACTTTTTTAATGAGATTAAGTGATTGCGATTGAAATCAGATTAACAATTAGGGTTCTTAATTGGGCAAAGTTTATATTTTCAATTGGGGAAAAGTAGTTTTACTCCAAGCATTGTACTCGAAACCTTCCACTCAAAGCATTCTATCAAGGTGGTCCTTGCGGTGCTCGTGAAAGAAACGGTGGGTGTGAAAGACAAGCGTAAAGGTAAGCTAAGCTATTGTTTTTCTATTTCGGTTATGGTTGTTAAAATTTGAGCGTAAAGCGTTGATGTCTGAATGTAGGTCTAGAAATGGTTTTCGACATTTGTTTGCATCACATGGGGAAGTTTGTTATTAATAAGGGGCTACAATATGTTGGAGGAGAGATACACGTGATCAAAGGATTTGATCTGAATCGTTGGTCGTATTTTGAAGCAGTTGGAATAGTTAAAGAATTTAAGTATGATGCAGACTTCAAACTATGGTGGAAGGGGTTGAAACAAAGGTTGATGAATAATGTGAGATTATTGAGTGATGACAGGGAAGCACTGTACTTGGCTCACTATGTAGAGAAGAATAAGGAAGAGGTAGAAATCTATGTTCAACATGTTTCTAGTGAGGCAGTGGAAGTTCACTTTCTTAGTTGTGGTGAAGTGGCAGATGAAGGAGAAAAGTGGAAGACGGTAAGTGGTTTCCAAAGTGGGTGACGAAGAGGTTAATTTACATGAGGAAGAAGTGGCTAAGATTGTAGAAGAGGGTAGAAGGGTTGGAAGAGGGTGATAGTGTTGTAGAAGAGGGTGAATGTGTTGAGCAACAGGGTTCACATGTTAATGTGGTTGTAGAGGTTGAAATGGGTGAGGAAGAGTGTGATGGTGGTGAGGAACATGAAGAGGTTGAAATGGGTGAGGAAAGGGAAGAATGTGATGGTGGTCATGAACAAGAAGAGTTGAAATGGGTGAGGAAGAAGAAGAGTGTGATCGGTGGTGATGAACATGAAGGGTTGAAATGGGTAAGGAAGAAGAAGAGTGTGATGGTGGTGATGAACACAGAAGAGGTTGAAATGGGTGAGGAAGAAGAAGAGTGTGATGGTGGTGATGAACATGATTATCTTCGTGAAGAAGAGGAAGGGGGAATGTGTGAGGGGAGTAAAGCTTCAGCTGAAGAATGTCTAGATGACATGAAGAAGACAAAAGGCCTATGATGATGATGGGTGTGGTGTTGAGCATGATAGGGTGGACCAAGTTCGTAGAAACATTTAATCCAGTTTTTGATAGGGGAATACGATGAAAATAAAGAGAAGAAAGAAGTGTGACTAGAAGAGGAAGTTGGGGAAGGTTCATTTATATGATGAAGAGAGTTTGAGATCATGACATCATGAAGAATAAATCAGTGATGAATTGATCAAAGGTAGATAGTGATGAGGTGTGCGGTTTTGAAAAAGGAGAAAATTAAAAAAGTATAGAAAAGATTATCGTGAACAAGAACTTCATATTCGATTGGGGATGGAGTTATGTTCATTAAAGGAATTTAAAAATGCACTAATGGAGCGATAGTGTATTAATGGAAAAGAGTTAAGGTTGTGAAGAATGACATAACAGAGTAAGGGCAGTTTGTAAAAACAAATGTGATTTTCTTATTATGGCTAGAAAGGTAGGAGGCAAGGCAAACATTAGGGTCAAAAAACCTTGGTTGGACGGACACAGTTGGAGGATTTTGGAAACACAAAAGTGCAAATGTAAACTGGATTGCACAGAGTTATTAGTAGGACAGGTTTGTGTAAATGTTGCTAACATGACAGTCAACCAAATCATTGATTGGACATAAGAAGTCATTCATTTTGGAATAACTGCTGGAAGCTGGAAAGCCAAGCAATTGCTTTGGATTCTTGGTTGGTGATGGAGAACGACAATTATGGTCGTATATATTATGTGGGTGAATTGCTTAAGAGTGAAGTCTGGAACCTTTAAAATTAAAGTGAATCAACCCCAACCAAGTTTGCCACCAAGATTTGGGTCATTTTATATGTATTTAGAGGGCTGTAAGCAAGGCTTTTAGGAAGTTGCAGGCCCCTTATAGGAGGTAGATGGTTGTCATCTGAAGACAACATATGGTGGTCAATTGTTGGTGGCAGTAGGTAAAGACCCCAATGACCAATACTTCCCACTAGCTTTTGTGTGGTTGAAAACTGAATGCAAAGAAAGCTGGAGATGTTTTTGACACTACTTCTGGATGATATTGGTGGCATTGATTGTCAACGTTGGGTTTTCATTTCTGATCAAAAAAAGGTATTCATTCATAATGTTTTCCTATTTTTATTTCGTAGCAGTGACATTATTTACTATTGACCAAGACCTTTTGTGTTTTGCGGACAAATGACAATTTTTATGACATCTTGGATGGAGTGGAACTAGATGTGCTTAAGGCACTTGTATAACAATTTACAAAGAAGAAATTTGGTGGAGAGTGCTTATTAGAGATCTATGATGGGGCTACCAAGGCCACATTTTCAAAGACTGGGAAAAGAAAATGGTGAGTTATCAAATGTTAACATTGATGCTTCAATGGTTGCTAGACTATTCTCAACTAAGTGTTGGTGATAAACATGCATTCAGTAGTTATCTCTATGATGCGATGTCTTGATAAATAATTTGTCTGAGTCATTAAATAGTACAATTTTACTAGCTAGAGACAAACCTATATAAACTATGATGGAATGGATTAGAACTTACATTATGAGTAGGTTTGCAACACTTAGAGAAAAAGCAAGACATATACAAGGAGTTGATGATGCCTAAACCACGAAATAGGCTTGATAGAGGAAGTAGAGAAGAGTGGAAATTGGATTCCAAACTTGGGCAGGGGCTGCAAAATTGAAGTCACTCACGGTTTACAATGGATAAATTTGTAGTTGACCTAAGTAACCATTCATGTAGTTGTTACTTTTGGGATTTAGTAGAATACCTTGGCAGGCACGTTGTGGCTGCCATAAATTACAAAGTAGAAACTATGAAGACTATGTACATCCTATTACAAGAAAGAGGCTTATGAAACTGTTATGGCCCTGAAATTGTTCCAATCAATGGACAACAACTGTGGTCTACTTCTGAATCTGGTGCCACTATTGCCTCCAATTTATAAAACACCCCCTGGGAGGCCTAAAAAACTAAGAAGAAGGGAGGCTGATGAATATGTGAGTCATACAAAATTGTCAAAAGAAGAATCTTGTATGAAGTGTAGCAGCTGCAATGAATTTGGTCATATGTAAGACATGTAAAAGGGGAAAGAAAAAGGTACAAAAATCCACTATTTTACAACTTCACTTATTTACACATTCAAATTATTTACACTATGATAATTTGCAATGTTGCTTACTTCCCATTTACAGAACACAAGGGGTACTTTAAGTGAAGGAGGATCTGGAAGAACAGGGCAACTTCCACTGCAGGAGGTTCTCAAGCACAAACCAGCCTCATCAACGTCACAAGGTGGAGGAAAATCAAGAAGGGGGACTTCAACTTAAGGACGACCTCAAGTGGCAATGGAGTAGGACCTGCATCAAGTCACCAAAGTGGAAGAGAACATCCTCAAGATATTGGCTGCACAAACATCTAGGGTTCCCAAGATAGTACCAATTGAAGATTTATTGTAGCCAAACCTATATTTTAATGTATTTTGTAAGTCACCAGTCACCCACTTAAGGAACAATAGTAGTGGGTACAGTGGTTCTTTTAACATCTACCATCATATGTAATTGTAAGGGACCACTTAACTTACTTTAGTACTCTGCTATTACAATATTTTTTGTCAGTGGTAAGGAACCACTTAACTTACTTATCTTATTTAATAGTATGGGACCACTTCATATTATATCATGTTCCTATTGTTTCCATCTTTGCATTATGCCAAGTTAACTTATTTATTCCAAGTTCAGATTACAGATACTCTACTTAGTCAATTTTAGCAGGCAAACTCTGCTTAGTTCCATATTTACAGATCCGGGAGATGGAAGTGGGTGAACCAGAGCAGCTGTTTATGATTAATTTTAATGAGTTGAATGCTAAAAATGCTACCTTTGGTTAATTCTTAAAAGTAAAAAGTGGAAGATAGCTGAAAAAATTAAGCGTTAAACTATCTGCCATGATTGTTTAAAAATGTTAGTGATGACTTAATGTCTTCTGTAAGTATGGAAAATTACTAAAGGTTTTCAGCTAATGTTAGTTAGGCGTGAAGGCTCTGTATTTCTAAAGCCTGCTTCTAGTTTTTCATTTACTTAGAGAACTATCTTTGATTCTCCAAGGATTAATGCCTGCTTCTAGTTTCTTATGATGCCCAATGTTTTCTTTATTAACATACAAACAAAAGTCCACTAACAGTGGTGGAATGTTAAAGGGAAAAAGTTAATCATCAAGTGGCAACACAAGTAAATTATCACATGGACATTATTATAATAGTTGTAATCTATCTTCTAAGAAATCTAAGAAATTGAAATTTTGATAGTAGTGATGTCTACAATACAAGTGGATTATAATCTATACATCATTTGTCTACCAAACTTAATTTAAGAGAATGCAATTAACCAGTATAAGTATCATGTCTTGGCTACTGCAGGAAATAATGTTCAAGAAATGTTTCTTTTTACAGGTACTATTACTAATAGCCAAATAACCTTGATTCCCTTTCGTCGCAATAAGTATACCATGTAATGTAATGAAACAAACAAAGTTAGAAAACAAAATCAAATTATCTTTACAAAAAACATCAACAGAAAGATATGTTAAAATAACCCAACAACCACACGTCCAAAAAATTGTAACTTTGCACCAATAAGCACAAAAATCTCAAAATGATCAATCAAAAGTTCAAATATTTCAAACAACTCAAAATCACTGAATAAAAACAACAGAAGATAACGATAATGAACCACACAAACTTACAAACGGTGTTTATGCCTCTTCAATGGTGATTTTCGACACAAGTTGGTGCTTTAAAACAGCGGAACGACAACGGACAATGCTCCGATGAACGGCGATAGACAAGGCTCCAATGAACGGCTTCGAAACGGCGGCGGACAGGCTATAATGAACGGCTTCGAAATAGCGGAACGTGGAAAGGTGGCGAACAAGGCTCCAATGAACGGCTTCGAAACAGTGGATAAGGCTCCGGTGAACGATGACGGTCTGGTGAATGGTACAAAGTGGGTAAACGGCGGCTTTTACGAATGTGAGGTTCGTGGGTGGGAGGACGTTATCTCGAGGCTTCTCTCGTGCAAATGAACTTCCAATTTTTTAAACCCGAAATGAAGTTTGCCAAATGAAAACCCCTGCAATCCCTTCTCACTTCAATTTCCACGTCATTTTCAGTTTTTTAAAATCTTCTCCACCTGGACTAATTACACGCTAACACATGGATGGAGTCAAAAGTTTGTTGAAATATTATTATCCTAAAAATATATGAGGACGTGTATGAATATGAGTGTGTAATACTTGATATTTTAAATTGAACCTAACAAATATTAATAAATAATTTTAAAGACTAAAATAATATTTTTAAACTAAACATAATTTAATGTTTGATGTTTATGTAAAACCATTATAATTCATTGTTAATGATATAGAAAACAAATATCATTTTCACTACCAACAATGGGATTAAGGAGTGGAGGTTGATTTATCTTTTATGATCAAATTATTAAAACATCTTTATTAATTAATATACAAAATTTATTTTAACTTTTATTTGGTCATTAATTTTGTATTGATTAATTATTTTTATTATTTTTCTATAATTATTTGACTTTTATTTAATTATTGTTAGATATATAATTATAATTTCTTTATTGATAACTAACATTAAAGAAAAGAAAACATATTTTTAATATTGAATTATTGATAATATAAAAACCCCTAAATGTAAAATAAAAATATAAACATTTTATCAACAACTGAACCATATAATAGAAATTGGTGTCATCATAATAGACGATGATTAAATCAGAAAGAAAATGAGTTTATAGGGAAATAATAAAAGGTGGAATAAGTTAAATAAGATAAAATAAAAGAACATATAGCATAGTAGATACTCCTAACTGTAGAACAAAAACATAAAAGTTTTATCAACAACTGAACCACATAATACAAAAATGATCTCGTAAGGAATGATCAATGAGTAAAGAAAGTTAGTTAAAATTAAGAAAAGGAAAAA